CTTAACGAAAGAAACGGAAGTAAAATGAAAATGTGTTTCCTCTTTGAATCGTTTCAATAAATTGAACAGGAGACAGCGATCTTCTTTCATTATTCTAACATGTTCGTAGTTTGATATCTCATTTAGTAATTCTTATCATACGCGCATCAAATCCAAAAAGTCTGTTTATTTTATTTCATCTTTAGCCACGATCAGGAATACAATGGAATTTCTCACCTTCCTAAAAACTGCAAATTTGTTATTGATTTATATCTAACAATTGCGTTCCTACGTACACTGAATTCATGTTGCATCAATTATTTAGAACATAGAAAAATGTCAGTCTATAAAGAGTTAAGATGTTCAAATCTTTCTTCGATGCTAGACTTTGCCGATTGCAAAGAACACAAAACTGTGAGAGCCAACTTGAATTACTCGGTTTTGTACTCGATTTTCTAGTACTCGATGCAGAAGCAAACACGGAGAATTTTAACGAGCTTCTCATTTCATTCGAAGCTTGAGGAAACTCTTAAAACGTACGAGTTTTCGTTTGGTTCTAGACCTTGTCGATTACATCGCATGCGAATCTGTAAGAGTAAAGTGTTCTCGAATTGCTTGGTGCTTGAATGAACATAATTGAAAGAGTGTACTTGAAAGAATGTACCTGAAAGGATCATACGAACCGTATAATCTGCCGGACCTCTAAAGCCGCGGTAGCGCTGCTAGATTCTGTTCAACTCGTTTTCACTAGGCAGCGATCATACTTTCAAATGAAACAATGTCTCAAGTACTATGAAACAATATTTGAAGGACTCGAACAACGAGCAACCGCGCGTATCATACGGACATCCTACACAGAAGTGACGTGCACAACCACTGGCAGAGAGTCCGCTGTAATTATGTTTGACATCTATTTTCCATTCGAAATTATGCCACATTGTATTTCACTGTTGCAAACTCTGCGCTGACTAATGGACAATGGCCAACGAAATTTGATCGACCGATACGCACGAATGAGAAGCCAGAGTAAATAATTGTTACGATACTATTCCAGGCATTGTGAATGTCGTGTAACCAGCGCCAAGATCCAACAAACAGTTTTACATTGCAATTATTGTTTCGTGTCGCGACGCGTTTAACGAAGCATTCTCGCCGTACAAAATGGCGGCGACCGCCGCCGTACACCGAATTAAATCCGCTGAAATTCCGCGAAGCGAATCGTAGTCAATTCGCGCGGCAGTAATAAATACGAACTTGACGGCCACGTCGATCGGCTGCGCGCAGCGACGTAAAGGCAAACGCATTATCATAAATTATATCATCGTTGGGAACGCCGGCCGACACAGCGGCGCAGTGGCAGCGAAATCAACTGTAATAATTCCACGGGGATTTGGCCGTAATGGCCGGTCCCCCGTAAGAATCTTAGGGGAGCCGCTTATACCGCGCGTAGACGTTCACATTGTGGAGCAACGCCACGCAAATAACGGGCTTTCGTCCGGCAGGAGTTTCACTTTTTAAGCGACAGGTATACCATTGTCAGGTTAAAAACCTGCGGCCAGGTGACAGTGAAAATCTTTTCAGGCTTCTCGGCGTCGAGGAGTGGCCGTCGGGGCGAGAATATATATATATCACTTTGCTCGATGGAGCATTGGAATTCGTTCGGGGACACCGAAAACGACCCATAAACCCGCCAGGCTATTCAAGAATTTTACCGAAGATTCTATACACGCTAATTTAGGTCACGTTCTCGGAGATTCATTGTCTTCGCTGTCTCCGTAATCGTTGAAACGCGTAAACAATGTTTGGTAAATCGCGTGATACAGTAATGTCTCTCTAATTTACGCTCGGATTGTCCACAAAAGTGGATAATTTTGGAAGAGGAGATGCGATTGTACGAGCCTTGCGGCTCATTTTTATAGTTACGAATTGTCAACAACTATAAAAATGAGCTACAAGGCTCGAATAATTGTATCTCCTCTTCCCAAATTGTCCATTTTTAGGCACAATCTGTGCGTCAATTAGAGAGACATAACTGTATATCGTACCATTTATTTCTGCGACATTTTACCATGCACTCCATCGTCCGTATGCGGACAATTACCACTTTTAATGAACAAATGATAGACAATATGATCGAACTATACGAAACGACGTGTATTCGTGAAATATATTAAATACATTATTGATAAAATGTATCCTCTAATAGAGTGCAAAGTACAAACTGTTTACATACTTATGGACGGGAGTGTACGTTGTTTGTGGTACATCATTTCATGTAGTAAATCCTTCGAACGTCATATGAAGGATAGTTTTGTAATTTCTGTGACGGGGTATTATCATTCCAAGGCAAGAACTAATCAACTTTTGAGAAGCATCTTAAAAGTCTTTTATATAGCCAACGTAAACATAATTATCCCTACAGTGTTCTTCGGATACGCTTTCAGCCAATCACATGCCTATTGGTTTCACAGGATTACGATTGTATGATTTTCTTTGTAGACGATCCTACTTCTTGGGAGAACTTTCAGTATATACAGCAGTATTCTACCGCGAATATACTCGCTAATTTATCCTACTCGCGAGGAACGCACGAAATTATGTAAATTTTCCATTCAAGAAAGGTAGAATATTTTTCTCTTCTCTCGACATTATTCCGAATTTCTTCAACAATAATTACAATATCCCCCGAGGACTGTCAATCGACTTGCGTTGATTCGAATGATTTATCTATTTACTGGAGAAAAGGAATGCGATAGATATAGATTTTTATGGTTATAGTTTGCAATATACATAATTTAACTATATAAATAAAACTATATATATAAAATTATATATTGTTATACTACGAATATTGTAAACTATATATATAGTTTACAATATCCGCCGAGGAGTAATGCAATAGATATAGATTTATATAGTTATAGTTTGCAAAATATATATAGTTTGTATAGTTTGCAATACACATAGATTAGTAGTGTGTATATAGAATTTCGTATAAACAGTGTTTAAAAGAACGAAGAGTTGAGAAGAAAACATCGCGATCGTTCAAGATTACTAATTAGTGATTAATGAATATAAATACCAATTATGTTTTAAGACTAGATGCAAAATTAATTAACTGTCACCACGGAGATGAGTACTCCGTCACTCCACCCGTATCACAACGAAGTCACGAACAAGTGCGCATCATGCAGACTACACCGCAGCTGGTGATAGCGAACTATCACGCGCGGATTATTCTTCTTGCGGATGCGAATGGGTTAAGAATGGCGGACATCCGAGCGGTTCGCGACTCGGCTGATCCATTAAGCGCGCACTGAAACGGAAGGCTTAAATTCCAGATTCTGTCCCGGTGGAAGCTGTAAATTTCGGGCAGAAATTCGGCTGGTTGAGCCGGGGACGCGGTTAATGCGCTTAGAGTAGATTCGGATGAATATAAATACCGTGTCAGGCGGGCCGGCGGATTTTTCGCCGCGGCGCGGCGTGAGAGGGGGATGAATCGAGGGGATCGTGATTAACGACGCGGAGGTCTTGCATCCACGCCCCATTCGATTTCGACAATTCACGGAATGCAATCATACCTCATGGCCGGCGTTTCGTGCGGGTCATCGGTTGACCTTCCTCCCTTTCTCTTTCTTTCTCGCCCCCGAGCTTCCTCTCTCTCTCTCTCTCTCTCTCTCTCTCTCCTCTCTCGCCTCTCTCCTCTTTCTCCTCTCCGCCCCTCTCGCCGCACCACCCCGGCGCGGTACCACCCGTTGCGCGAAATAACGAGAATGGCGGACCGTAAGATTATTGCCAGTTGTGCTGTTCGTCCGGCGCGGCGTCGGGGAACTTCTGGGACCGACCCTGAGACGCCAAGGTTTGGCGAGTGATGGACGAGTCTGCACGGAGACCGAAAGATTGAGGATCGGCTGTCAATCTTCCGGCCCGCGAGCGACGAACAGAGATCGCCTACCGCTTGTATTCTTTCGGTGCTCCTCTCCTCTCTTTTTTTTTCTCCGTTCGGTTAATTTGCTGCTCGATCGACCACGTTTATTCCCGGTTCCGTTGTCGAATTCGACTGGGACTTCTCGCGTGCGTCACGCTTTTGTCCGACAGTCACCCCCGACGACGACTCCCGCAGTCACGCTGCACTCGCGATTCGACGCGAAACGCGGTGCGTCACGGGGTGTGAATAAGCCTTTCAGTCCTGATTTCGAATATTTCGGGGATAATGACAAGCGGAGTGGTTCTGCCGGTTCTATTTCTGGTTCGATTTCTCGACTCGTCTTGTTTTCGCTTCCTTTTGAAACGGTTTTCCGAGGACCGAAGGCCGCCGTGTTCTCGTTTCGATTAACCCCTTGACATACCATTTTCTTCGCAGTTACTGCGATTAAATATTTTTCCATTGCAATAAATTCTTAGTAGGGAAAGAAAATTGAAGCTTATCGCGTGTGACTAAGTTTACTGAAATGCTTAAATATTGATGACAAGAGATTAGAATTTTATTCCAATTTTAAAGGACAGAATAACAACTATACTAAATTTTCGTGACGAGTCGGACTCGTCCAAGTATGGCAAGGGGTTAAACCGGACTTTGTATATAGATTTGTTTATAGATTGTTTATAAATTAGATCGCAGGTTAAATTTGTGCCTAACTGATTGCCAGGGGTGGTTAATGTCTTTCAAACATTGACTTCGGCAATTTGTGACAAATGACATCGGCTGTTTGAATTATAATCTTGAAACGCTTAAAACAATGGCAACATGATACTGCATAAATGTATTATTCGTTCAACCCCATAGAATGGTAACTAGACTGCCGATAGAATGCATTTAAAACAAGAATGACCAGATGAAATAAAATAGACCAAAAGCATAAAAAGACTAAAGGCATTTGACGTTATGATAATTCTCCAAAGAGAAGATAAATTTGTACCTTCTACATGCATTTCAGAATCGGCAGAGCTCGATATCGCCGGTCGCGGCACGAGCATCTGGTACGACCCGACAATAAAAGTGAGAAAGTGATCGCACTAACCGGGGACAGAGCCTCCTGCATGTGCAGGGGTGCGTTGTCGGCCTCGTCGGTGCAAGTCGACATTCTCCTGCGCTGTCTTCCGCTTCTCTTTCCTCGCCGTATCGTGGCGTCCTGTAGGATCAGCTTGTCACAATGTAGCGGCGTCGTCGGCGTCTTCTCGGCGCGCCGATGGCCCCGTGTGTATCCCTATCGGTCGACTAAACTGACTACTACGCGAATCGAATGACTCTATGCATGGGGTAGCGTGTATCACAGGCTGCGGTATGGCACGTCATTAACGGAGGTTCTGAGTAGCATGCGTCGAAAGAGGACCTGCGAACCAAACAGACAGAACGGACAAGAACGAGAAAGAACAAATGATCCCGCGAGTCGTTGAACCGATCGATCTTTCGAAAGAAGCGGACGTCGTGGTAAAAAGATGCAGCGGCTAATCTCGGAGGCTCGGTGCTCGCGAGCGCGAGCGCGAGCGCGCACGCGCATGTATCGCATGTTCCGATTGCACAACGTGCAATCAGCGGGACCAGCCGGGTTCGCCGTGTTCCATTCATTTCAAACTGGCTACGGAGCACGTCAAACTGGAAACGGTTTCGCGGTCGCGGCTCTGATAGACAGGTGTAATAAACCGGCGTCGAAGAGACAGACAGACGGACAGACGGACGTACAGACGGAGAGACAGACGGACAGGCCTGGCGAGAGTGAAAAGTTGAAACAGAGAAACACGTTTCATTCGGTAGTCCCTTCCTTCCCTAAACACCATGGAGATGCCCGTGGCTCCTCCGGTAAGGGAGGAACGAAGGAAGCCGTTGAACCGGCCTGCTATCGGCGAACAAGAATAACAAGAAGACGGAGAAGAATAAGTCAAGCTTAACAGGAAGAGCCGGGAGAGCCGCATTTTTGCCGGGCAAGTCAGGTTGACGTCCCGGCCGGAAGAACGAGATCGCGGCGGAATCAGGAAGGCCATCGGGGTAAGGCGGCGGCGGCGTGGCGGCGCGTGTTTGTCCGCCTCGGGTGTACGCTCGACCGCGAAGCGACGCGGCGCGGTTCCGTCGCGCGCGGACAACGCCGAAGGAGAGGTTGAATAGCAGGTTCGATGGTTGATTCAGTTATCACGTGGCCGTGCATGCCCGGTCTCCGTCTGGCCGGGAATCCGTTCGGATGTTGGCCAAACCAGTCGGACACCACGAATTCTACATCTTCAGCGCGCCGCCGTGCCGCGTCCAGGTGGATAGTTAGCGAAACCAGTTGGTTCCCTCTTCTCTCCTGGCTCGTTCATCTCCTCCTACTACCTCCGCTCCGACGCCGCGGCGCGGTGCGGCGCGGCGCGGCGCTTGAAGGAGGGCAGCAGCCACGTAAAACTGGAATTCAGCTCGCGACCGCTACCGACTGACGGATAGACAGGTGTAATAATAGACGTAACCAGCAGGCCGGACCATCGAGAACGAACGTTCCGCGACGGACAACTTTTGCAGAACGGTTTTCCACCGGCGCGCACCTAGAGAGGTGTCCCCTGTTCGGCGCTGGACTCTGCGGAACGGAATGATCGAGGAGTACGATCATCGCGAAGCAAGGGAGGTAAACCGGAAAGCAAGAGGAAGATCATCGAGAACGAACATTCCGTAGCTGGTTCACGGTCCGAGTGTACTTCTCCGCCATTGGATTCCGATGAACTATCGCAGTTCCGTCTGCTAATCAAAAGCAAGACCTCGAGGAATGCTCGACGGACAGAAGATGAGCCACGGGAGCAAGAGAAAAACCATCGAGAACGAACGTATCACGGGTCTGGATGTCCCCTATTCGTCGTTGGATCCTGGTGGACGACGATCGTCTTTCTTCGAACCACGAAGTACGAGATAAGCTAGGTGAACCGGAGAGCTAGGTCGAGACATTCCACAGCTATTTCACGCGTAGGCGTGCCCCGCTCATCGTTGGATTCTGGTGAATGATCATCGTTCGATCTGGCAAGCGAGATAAGACCTCGAAGAATGTGGAAGACGAGCCGAGTGTGCCGAAGTGGAGCCAAAGTACAAGAGGGAGGAGATCAAGCTAGCCAGAGGGCAGTATCACCGGTATCTTTTGGTGACCGTTGGACTCCGATGAGAGCGACCAGCTTTGTCTTCGGTAATCGAAGTGCAAGGAAGGCAACGAAGAGGTGCGAGATGAACTAGACCCGCAGAAGGTGAGCCAGAGAGCAAGAGAGAAAGAGAGAGAGAGAGAAAGAGAAAGAGAGAGAGAGAGAGGGAGAAGAAGCTGCTGAAGAGGGTGGCGGGAAGTAGGTAGGTAGCCTACCTACTACGCGGAAGAAGGAGATTGGGGCGACTGGGGAGAAGGAGTAGGTACACCAAGCCGGTATACAACCGCGGACCGGAGACGAGAAGCCAGAGGAGCAGGTTCGGCCGGTCTAACCTGATTCTCAAAGGGAACCCTGCATCAGATTGGACCCACCTCCGTGGGTCCGTTTGTATTTCAAGTACCTGTACTCCCTCGCGTCGCGTCAGTGGTCGATGCCTCCGGAGACGGAGGACTCGCCGAGCGAAGAGGAACGAGAGAGCCTCTCCTCGGCAGCCTCGAATGATCATCAGCGAACAAACTGTCCTGTTCCGCGGCTCTGACAGAGCAGCCACCGCGTGCGACGACACCCGCGGTGACCGTAGCGCGGACCTGATCGCCGGACCAGGTCGCCCAGTGATCATCCTCAGTGATTTCGATAGTGATTGTCAAGAGACACCAGTGCAAGTTCTAGCCTCCCTTTTTCTTTGGGGTCGGGGAAGGGCCCGTCGGATCTACCGCAGCGAGTCCAAGTCGATTCGAGGCTGTTGCTCGTTTCGCGGATACACCTTTGTCTCTCGTTCCCGACTCCTCCGGCTTGGAGTCGAAGACGAGCCTCGTCCGAGCTACCTGAGGCCTCGCGGAGGCGGTGTCCTCCGGTTCAGTGATCCGGGAGTGAGAATCAGTGGCGAGTTTCGGTTGTGGGAAAGATCCTTGGTTTCCGAACCAAGGCGCTCTACGTGGGCTAAGCGATTAGCACGTGTCTCTCGGAGAAAGAGAGGTACGGATGAAGGCTAGAGGTAGAGATAGACAGAGCGAAAGAGAGAGAAAGAGAGAGCGAGAGAGAGAGAGTGAGAGAAAGAGAGAGGTGTATGGAGAAAACGAGAAAGAGAGAAAGAGTATCGGTGTGTGGACTGCGTGGATTATTCGAGAATGTTCTCGAAATGCCTGTCGTTCCTCGACGCCGCGTTATATAAACTGGAGGAGGGGGGAAAGGAACGCGTTGCATTCGGGGCGACGTCCATTAGTGGATACCATAAACCGGGGCCAATTATATTCGCTGTAGGGGCTTCCATTCACTCTACCGCGGCGCATATGCTAATCGTCGCCGATTTCGCGGATACATGCAATCGCTGATCGAAAAGAGCGAGAAGGAGAAGGATAGAGTAGAGATCGAAGATGAAAAGAAAGAAAACAACCCGGTAACCGGCAATTTATTCGACCGTGTAATTCGATTCTGGTATATCGCGAAACCGTTGCGTTAGAAAAAAGAAAAAAAAAACAGAAAAATAATCGGCGCGCTATTCCTCCGTCATCTCGAATTGCGTAGCAGTTAATACCTTCCATTCGTCTCGATTTTGTAATAATGTTCGAACGGTAAGGATCGAGACACGGAGAGAGAGACAAAGGAGATCGATCCATTGAATAATGCAGCGATCCGATCGCCGAAGGGTTGGCCAGCTCGAGAATGGTCCGGAGATCCTCGGATGGTCCCGGAGCGTCTCGACGATCGACTTGTTTACCGGCGGGTCACCTGCGCATCACCTGTGCGTCACCGCGCAGGTAGCCGGTGAACATCCGCGGCGAGGAGGTCGGCCTCCTCCGAGAGAAGCCGGAGACAATACCGTATTCGAAAAGAGAGAATACTCACTTCTCCGTGGGAGGTTGGTGGTGGGGGTGGGGGTAGGTGGCTCGAAAAACATGGAGGGAAATAGTCGCTGCGAGAGAAGAAATATATCGTGGCGCGTCCGTGTGCTCGTCGAGTGATCTTCGGCCGATCGGTGGCTGTACCGACGTACGTATCTATTTATCGTTGTGCGTCGGTACGAAGCGGATGATCTGGTGCGCGCGGTCGTGGTACGCGTGTGTGCATGTAGTAACGCGGAGAGTGGAAGAAGGTGGTATAGAGAGAATGGTAGGGTGGTATACGGGGGTGCTTGGTGGGGTGGGGTGGGGAGGGGGCCAACTACAAACTACTAAACGTCCCTCCTGTGTTCCGGATCACATCTCAACGGATGATAGTGTCACCACCTTCGCCGCGGACCGAGGCGTCCCACCGCGTATTTAGCGGTTTCGTCGGGGTCGGAGCTCCTCTTCTCCAAAGGGCGCCCAATCGCGGGTGCCCTTTTATCCCTCTTCACCCTAGACTGTCTTTCTCCCCCGATTCGGTAGTTTCTTTTCGCTCCACCTTCGCGTACGTCTCTTCTTTTTCTCACTTTCGTTTATTTATTTGTCCGAGTTCGAGTCCACTCTCTCTCTCTCTCTCTCTCTCTCTCTCTCTCTCTTTCACTCTTTCTTTTTTCTCTTTCTCCCACTCCCACTCTCTCTCTCTTTCTCTCTCTCTCTCTCTTTCTGTCTATCTATCGTCGTGTTCTTCGCGGGGACACAGAAGAACACGGATCACGATCGATCGAATCCTCGCTCGCGTACCGTAGTAGCACCGTGAAACTCACAAAATTTTCACTCCGCGGCACCGCATTCTCCTCGCTACTCTGTTCCGTCGCGGAACGTGTCGCATCCGTCGAACCAGTCACCGCGGTATCGTTCCTTTCGCGCACCACCCCTCTTCGAAACGAGTCACGAGGAGGTTTTTTCCAAACCGGATCGGATCGTCTGTCCGCGATTCACACTTGTACACCGGCTTCAGGCACACGCGCACGCTCGCCGAGACTGTGGCGACGGGAACGACGACGGTCGCGACGACAACGGCAACGACCACGACCACGTCGAGAACGACGACGACGACGACAACGACGACGACGACGACGACGACGACGGTAACGATAACAACAACAACGACAACGACAGCGGCGACGTCGACGACGGTAACGACCCAGACCGCGACGACATCGTCGCCGGGGATCGAACGCGATCGGTTACTTCACCGCGACCGAGGAACAGCGTGAACCACCCGATGCTCCCGCAGCTGGATCGTGGATTCTGACGAGGGTGGAACGATGCACAACCCCGAACTGTACGGCCCAACAGGTAGAATTAAACCGCCCAAAGTTTGGGCAGCCGCTGCAAGCAACAAACGAACCAGCCTCACGGTGCTCTCTCGGATCGTTCTCTCTTCTCTCGGGATACGGCAACATGGCCGCCGTCGCCGCCGCCTCCCAGCATCCCGCTCTCGGCTCCGTGTCTCGTGCCCCCCTCTCTTCTCTCCTCCACACACACGGCAACGATCCTCCGTCTCCTTTCCACCGTGGACACACGTTTCTCCGTCTCTCCTCCTCAGCCTCCCTCGCTCCCGAATCTTCTCCCTCGCTCTCGCCCCGGCCACCTATATCCTTCTTCGTTCGCTTACCTGGCCACCCTACGACGCCTCCCCATTTAGGCTCTTTCTCCTTTGATCGGCCGTCCTGCTCCAAACCCCACGCTCCTCTCCTCTCTGTCTCTCTCCGCGTCTCGCCGCAGGTGTCCCGCTTCCTCTCGCCTTCTACCTGTAGCACCGTCTCACGGCGTTACTCCCACTCCGCCCCGAAGAGAATCCAGCGATAGGTATATACCAGCCGCGGAGTGGTGGCGTGGAGAGGGCCTCCGGCTCCTCTGATCGTCCGGTCTCTCTCTTCCTTCGCCGTTCCGTGCGATCTAGACGTCTTCGTCTCTCCGCTGGACGTCTCGGTAATGGCTCAGGTGAGACGCTAGAGAAGGACAAGAGCATCGAAACAGCGGAGAGAGAGAGGAGGGATCAGGAGACAGGATAGCCGGCGCGCAGGTAGCCAACGAGGAACGAGGACAGCCTGATCAGGCGGGCACGCGGGTTCGATAGAGAAGAGGCTAGCGTCTCTTACGGCGACCTGCACGGATACAAACAGAGCATCGAGTCATCGACGAGGCAGCCAGGCAGCCGGGGCTCTTGGCCACCCGGCATTATCGTGTCTCCGCCGCGTTCTCCGTTCCTCCTTGCTCTCCTGGCCGTTCGCTCCTCGTCGCTTCTGCTACCTTGAGAAGGATACCAGGCTCCGTGGCCGCGCGAGAGCAACGAGGACGCTGCACCACGCACACGTATGCTCCGAGTATTATCGTCTGTTCGCGTCCTCGTCCGATCGATCCGACCGGGCTTTCTCCTTTTCCGTCTCGCTACCTTGAGAAGGATACCCCGAGTGCTGACTCTCGGCTCACGGGATAGATAGAGGTGCCAAGGGGAGGGGGCGAAGAAGAAGGACACTCTGCGTGTACGTAGATTATCGTAATTCTCCCCTCCCGCAGAGGGTCCGCAGCCCTCTTTGGTCCCTCGCCAACAGCGTTTGATACACCCGGGCCCCGTTTTCTCTCGGCGCGTTACCACCTTGAGAAGGATATCCAGACGCCGCGCCGCGTCGCGCCGCGGCGAGCCGCGTCGGGAGACGTCCCCGCGGACGTCTAAGGTCGCGCGCAGCGTACACGGCCGGAGCTCCGGACATCAAGGTGAACGGAACAGCGGAGAGGAAGGCACGTGTGCGTGGCTCTGCCCGCGTTTATCGATCGGCCGAGGAAAAAAGGATTCTTCGGCTCGGTTTGGCTCGGCTTCGACTTTCACTTCGTCTTCTCTTTGTCCCCCCAGCCCTTCCTCCTCCTCCTCCTCCTCCTCCTCCTCCGCCACCCCCCGCCCGACGCCGGAGCGTACACACGCTGAAGCTTCGCAGGGTGGGGCGCGAACGGGGAACGCGGCTGGTGAAGATACGAGACGCCGTTCCCCTCTTTTATCGAGCTTTTTATCGGGCCCGGCAGTAGGGGAAGATTCCACCGAGACGTTCTATGAAGCTGCTCTCGACCGGCAAAAAACGACACCCCCTAGAAGAAGAAGAAGGAGACGAAGAAGACGATGAAGAAGAAGAAGAAGAAGAAGAAGAAGAAGAAGGAGAAGAAGAAGAAGGAGAAGAAGAATAAGAAGAAGGAGAAGAAGAAGAAGATGGCGAGGAGAAAGAAGAAGACGCGGCGAAGAAGGGGACGAAAGGTAGCACAGAGGGACGCGGAAGACCGAAAAGGAAGACGATGAAGCGAGACGCACCGATATAGCTACAGACACACGTGCGTGCTATTGATTCCCCGTTGCACGGGCCTCGCTGCGAGAGTATATAGACACGCAGACGACGAAGAGGATCGATGCTGCCGTTGCTGCTGCTTCTGCTGCCGCTGCGCCGTTGCTGCTGCTGCTGCTGGGCAGCTAAGAGCGGAGATGGACTCCGGGATCGAACGACCGAGAGAAGTCGCTGTGGGGGAAGGGATGGAAAGAAAAGGTTGAGAGGAGATGAAGTGTGTGTGAGAGAGAGAGAAAGAGAGAGAGAGAGATTGAGAGAGAGCAGGCTCAGAGGTGCGTGTGTTCCGATAGAAGGAGCGGGAGAGGCGAAGGAGAAAATAAGCGAGCGAGACAAACGTCTTCAGCGTCCCTCCTCTCTGCCGCCCTCTCTCCCTCTCTCTCTCTCTCTCTCTCTCTCTCTCTCTCATCTCCTCGTCCGACCGTTTTCTTTCGGCGCTGCTCGCCCCTCTCTGTCCGGCTACCTCCCTGTTTGGTCCTCTTCGGCCGCGCACGAAGGGAGAGATTAAAAAGAGAAAAAGGAGGAGTTGGAATTAAAAGAGGAAAAAAAGTCCGCGGAGAGGAAGAGCGAGAGGGAGGGATCGGGGGAACGGGGCGAGGAAGCGAGACGGAGACTCGTGAAAAATGGGCAGCCAGCGAGAGAAGACAGCCTCGGGCTACAACGCGCGATGCGACCCTGCTCAGGGAGGGATCCATCCGCTCCTCAAAGATATATAAACTTCGTATAGAGAGGCGCGAGGCTCGCGTGGAAATTATTCTCGCGATTGCTCCTCTCCAGCGGGAATCGAAGAGAGAGAGAGAGAGAGAGAGAGAGAGAGAGAGAGAGAGAAACGACGACGACGACGGAACGTTGTTCCGCCGCGATGTTTAGCAGGGAGTAATTAGGGGATCGCCTCGTGACAGCGCCGCGGACCGCAGCCGATCATTTGAATACGCACGCGTTCCCGTGAGAATCGTCGTCGCCCTGGTCGTTACGCGTGCACGTACCGCGTGGGTGGTTGCACGCAACCGCGTGGGCGGACCGACGAGAGCAACGAGGAGGAGAAACGCGGACCAACTATGGTGGAGGGAGCGAGCCGCGGCCACGTTTTCGAGCCGACTCTTTTTCGTCGACCTTGACTTTTTTCCGCCTCCGATCGAACTCTCGCGATGGCTACGACGTGGAACCACCGGGACCAACGGGGTGCAACCGGGAGGAATGACTGCGTATTAATCGCTCGGACACTTTTCGGGGGCCCGGCCAGCCGGCCGTGATTGAAACATGGACTGATTGGATTTTGAAGAGCCGAGGCCGATCCACGACGCAGCTTCGAGCACTTCCATCCTACGGCTCACGGTGGTTACCTTCTTCCAAAACGTTGGCCAAAATGCAATTATCGATACATACACGTGGCATATGCATACGCAGTTCGGAGCACCAAATACCGTCTGAAATTTTCAAATACTACTAGCATAGTGATCGTCGAAGTTGACGAGATTATCGGTGCTTCGTTGCATCTTAACGCTAAATCTACCATCACCAGTCAACTGAACAAGTTCGCGTATTTTATTTTATTAATAATTTCATTAGAAATTGTCGATTACATTTCTCTATTCACGCTGTTACAAAAATTCTGAAAAATTGAAATAAATTCTATCTTGTAATTTTTATAAGGCATATCGATCACTTTTTGACCTCGGTACGTTTACTGTTGAAGATGATAACATCATTAATGTGCCAAGCTAAATTTTATCCATAAGAAAACTGTTTGAAGAACATTTTACCGGTATAATATGTGCTGCAAAGATGAGCTTAAAATGTCTTCGAGATGTCTAGTTTTGGTTCTAAGACGTCCAGACGTCTTTAAGACGTCTTTTCTATTTGGGTTAACACAACAGTAAAGAAAATGCTGCGAATGTTATTTCGATTTTAAATCGTCGATGCCCGCACGCATTAATGAACTCTGTTCGAAATCTTCATGACGGTGTTCCAGTGTCGTTTCATTTTATGCTCCATTCGTCAAGAACATTAACGAAGAAGATACAATTTGACTGCAATTTTTGTTTCCAAACGTGTTCGGTGATGCGTAAATTTGCATAAAATTTCAGTCCGTTGCAGACGTTCCTCGCGAATATCTCGCCATACAATCTATACAATATCTCTCGAGGATGTCTTGATTTCTCCTTTTGAGAGGATTCACCGTAACTAATGAAATCGTAAATGCTGAAACGACTGTATCAACGTCTAGATCGTTTAATTTTCAATGCAATTCGATCGATAACTGTTTACTTTAACGCGCTCGGTATCCATCTTGATGTCAATCGAAATATATTGCGTTCTCATAAATGTTGGTCACACCAGCTTTCTCTGTCTAATCATTAGAAATAAATTAATTTAGCTCTTAATTAGCTGTCACATATTTTTCGCAAGACCAGATTTGATTTTCAATCCGGATCCGATTGTCCATAAAATTCCGCGCACTGACTTCTACTCGAGATCGATTTTCACGGAAATTATTCGAGGATCGATCGTGTCGGGTATCGGCGATCGATCACGACCGGCTTGGTTCACAGAACCGCGGGAAGAGGGATTGCAGGTATCGCGGCGGAGGGAAGAGCGAATTAGTCGATTAGATGGCTACAAGATCGTTTGTTCGTATACACCGTTGGTCCGCGAGGTTTATTTTATTTGGGCGGCAGCCGATCCGAACGGGAAATACATCACGCCGGTTGTTTTCAGTGGAAACGTGCGCGACCGACTCTGTCGTAGGTCGTGTCGCCCGTAATTGCGCACATCCTTCTGAGCGGTCGGCGACAAGTTATTATCGGTGAAGTACGCGGCCCCGTCGGCTGAAAGGCCATTTGTCATTGGCCGCGGGAAGTGCGAAAATCTTCCACCCGACGCGGTGTTTGCTTTATCTTCAAATTGTACAGGCGCGGCGAGTTTCTCCGAAACGAATGAAAAATTGCGACCGCGTCTCGGAAAACTTAGCTTTCGAACGACGAATTGTTGACTTTCCAGTTCTTATGCTAGCCGCGGATTTGCGTCGTTTTTTCTTTCTTCTTTTTTTTTTGGATAACTGTTAAACGCTTCTTACAGTTGACATAAACTGACCCGATTACTCCGACCGCGTGGTCGAAGGTTTAGCGACTTCGCTTTGCGATATAACGTATTTTAACTACGGTGTGCACGAAGCACAGATTTTATGTTCATACGGGGCGATTGTAAAAATTGAAACAGTAAACTGGTATATAACACCGTCAATTTTCCGTGACTTCAAATTATACTCACGCAAGTTTTCACATAATATAACTGCTTCTTACCACATCGTATAATCGTTGTTTATTTTCTCCTGTTCGACACGCGCGTAATAGTTAAGCAAATATTCACGTGCAAATTATTGCAACGATGTTCCCACAATTTCTATACATCATGCTATCAATTATTTTTCACATTTCGTACGGCTTACTTAACAAACTTTGTACGGTTTAATGAATTCGTTGCGTAAGATGATTTTTACGGATTGAAACATTAATTGTACAGATTCCAACCACGCCTGTCACGATAATAAGCATATCACCGCCTTAAACGTGTACCTAAGTAAAGGCTTGTGTATTCCACAGTCTAATCATTTACCTATCTAGCCGTTATGAAATGCCACGGTCCTGGAAATCAATTTTTAGGCGATCTTTGAGAACCTTTTCCCCATTTTACTGTTGGGTTCGCGTAATCTCTTATTTGTTTGTAATCCCGTGTAACTCTTCGTCGCCACTTACTAGTTTACCATATTTTTAAATCTAATTTCACTTTTCGCCATCACGTGGCTGTCTATTAAGTCCTCTTGTCTCTTCATCGTATTCAAGGATTTTATAATTATTTCCATACCTGTGATCTCTCACTTCTGAATTAACATTATTTGAATATTTATCTGAAACAGTTCAAACAAATTCATGCAACGTCTTCGAATAAAATCCTTTTGTTGCATATTATTTCGAGGATTGTTTCTTTCGTCAAACTTCGAATAAAGAATAACAAAATAGTTGATTATTTGAAATTACATTATTTATTTCAAACTAACCCCTTGCCAATCCAGCTCGCGACAGTCACGTGCTTACGCATAAACATATAACCTAAAACTTGAACATGTATTAAAAACTGAAGAAATATTTATTTCCTATTTGCATTTCAGATAAAATTTGCCCAGATCAAGAAATTGCGAAGAAATGGTAGCAATACGGCTGACAAACACGTTAGCGGGAGGCAGAGAGTTCAACGCGTGGCTAGACAAGGCTGTCGAAGTCTGCGCGGAGATTCGGGCTGGGTCTTAGCTCCTGTGCAGGCGTTGAAGTCACCATAAGCCCGGTTAGGCGCGCTCGTGTTCGCCGTAGAACGGCCGGTCGACCGGTTCACGCGTTTCATTCAGAGAGACAGACGTCAATGTTGCATCTATTCACGTATACAGCCACAATACATCATAGGCTACCTGTTCCCGATGAAAGACCGGTCACCGGTCGGTCTTGCCCGCGTTTTCAAAGTAAACAGAACCCACTTATATAAGGAACGGCCGGGAGACGAGTCGACGAAAGACGGACAGAGACGCGCGGACGAGCGAACAGTAAAACAATTCGTCGTTCAATAAAGGGGAAGTGCTAAAAACGATTTTACAACGAGCGCTCACGGCCGAAGAAAGAATGATTGTTAACGCCCGGACCTGCGAAGTGGGATTAGCGATTCTTTTCTCGGAACCCGGGCCGCTTCTCTTTTTCTGTTTGCGTTTATGATGCGTAGAACACCGTGATTTGCATAAATCGACGCGATGATTTTAGCGGGACACGCTGCCAGCTACGCGACGTCTAAACGATCCGCCGTTCTCGCGTGTTTCGGGCATGAATGTGCCGCTTGTGCCGTCTTAAACAAATTCTGATCCTCGGGGTTCACGCAGAGGTTCTTAACCTTGGCAATCGACCGCTTTAAAATATCAAACATCATGCTTGCGCGTTCTTCTCGAAGGTCAATCCGTAAAAATCGAAAGTTCTTTCGAAGACACTGCTATCTTCTAAATAATATTTCAAACTGATTTTTAGACCGCGAAAACGAGCGAGGTACCTGTTATGGAACACCGCTCGATCGTGACCCCTTTCTTGAAACATTAGCACAAATAATACAATAACAGATACAGCGTACGAAAATGGATGTAAATTTTCTATTCATATCCTTGAACATTGTTCTTCGTAAATTCACTCGCATCAATACTGTTTACGTAATAATCTACAGCAGAAAAAAATGTTCGCTCGAATACGCGTGTTTCTAAACAAGGACATACTGTTCCATATTGTGTTCAGTGTCTTCATATTCAGTGTCACTATTTTTGAACGGGTACATCAAATTGAAATTGAATATGGACATTGAATATGGATCACGGGGACACGGTACGAAACGGTGTTCCATAATAGGTACGCGCATGATACTTTACCAGTTTATTCGTATTATTTTTTACTTTTATACGGTCTGAAAAGCGCTCCATAATGGGTACCTTTTTGTTACGTGGAACAGCAAGAACATCGGAAGACTCCAAGAATGTCGAATCTATTATTTTCGACTTATTGAAATTGTGAAAGCAAACTAGACATTTCTGTCCGTTTTCTTACAGAACATTTTTATTTTGCTCGATTACCGTTCATTACGGTGTTCTTTGCAGATCGAATTGAAATACTCTATAAATTAGCGCTAGATAAATCACTTCAACTCAATTTTCGCCCGAAGGTTCCTGCGAAATGTTCGTTTTGCTTTTTACTAAATAATCTCCGCGAACGTGCAATTCCGTCAAAGATCCACAGGATGCTCATTAGTGTTTTTCGTTTTTCCTTTTTTTTTGCGACCGGTGGGGAAAAGAGTAAAAAGTAATTTATTTCTCGCCTAGCAGTGCGCGCCTGGATCGCGCGCTCGCGCGGAACTTTCACCACGTTTGCAGCGGCGCGCCGGTGCGTGCGCGCGCCGCGTTTAAAAAATGATTATCACCGTTTACCATTAATTGCGAGTCCGCGAGAAATGAAACGGAATCGAAAAATCCTTCCCGGGCAATTACAGGTCCGGCGACTTCGGACTCGTTGGTCGCGTTTCGTGTCGCTGGGCGCCTATCGACGCCGAGCTTGGTGCTCCAGCTTCGAGATTGTCGGCAGGAAACGCGAGCGGCGGCGTCGTGATAACGGTATCGAAAGTGTTACGCATACGAGCGGCGAGGCTGGCTCGCGAGGTTATCGGTGGTTAGACGCTCGGCCTGCGAGCGGACCGCGATCAGGACGAGCAGCAACCTCTAATTTACGTCACGAAGCCGCGCTAATCGGCGCGCGGTCGGAAAATTTATTTTCGCGGGACGTCCGCCGGCCTCCGGGGCCGAGTCAAGGCCCGGTCCTTATCACTTCGTGTCACGGAAGCCGTGTCACGATTACTCTCGAACCAGCCGCATCGGTTCACCACTGCGGTGCTTCGATTAGGCGACCCGGTCGCCACGAGATGTGTTCATCAGCGAACGCGAACGGCAGAAATCCGCTCCAAAATACACGGCCGTTATCGAGCAGTTTTTAACCCGATCGCATTTTTATTTTCTTGGAACGACGGGTCATTTTTCTATCATTCAAATATTACTCGATAATAGTTACTTCGTTCATCCGCTACTGGGCAATCATATTCGCGTTCGTATGTATTTTAAAAGTAATCATCATTACTAAACTAATCATTCGTTCAATACATGCAAAGAAATGATGCACACGTTTGATTGTGGAAAGAATATTTCGTATAAATACATTCACGTATACTAATCTGCTTGGAGAGACTACTCTATTTTAATTATCTACTTGCACAATTAGTCGCTAGCAAGACATTCAAGTTACACAAGTCGATTTTGATGAAACTTTTGTTAGATATAGGACCTACGAAAATATTTCACATGCACAATATATTTTGTAAAGCGACTATGATTCACATTAGAGAATAAAAACAAACATTGAATCCTTGCATTACGATTTCTTACACAACTACGTTGATTCCATCTTTTCGAGGATAAAGAGAATTGAGTTTTGTGTATATCTATATTAAATATAATGGCCAAATATCAACCTCATTAACATTGAAATCCATTTCGATGTACAAGTTGTGAACAATATTCATATTAAGTAGATTACATTCGACATCTTCATAAAGTAATTGACACAATATACCGTACAAGAAGACATACTTTTACTCTGATGAGACATATTTTTTTAATCTTTCTTATTCTCTACGATCCATAATGTTTTGAAAATGTATTTTCAATGATCAACTTCAAAGGTTTATCGATGCACGTTACAAAGATTGGTTTCCAAAAATAGTTCTTTGAAAGTGACACTGTCTGTTTTATCTATCAAGTCAAGAACGCTAGGTTCCGTTTATCAGAATGGAAATTGATACTTACATATCAGCGCGTTATTTCAACAACTGTAGATTTTACAACGCACATTAATCTTCGTTTATAAACACTGATAGAGACAGAATTAAGAGTTGCATAATAACATTCCGAAGCAACTCAACTAACTGGCCAATGCGAATTCAGTGCAGCTTGAATTGGTCCTTATCAGATTGCGGATTTTTCCGTGTCTACAGTAACTGCTACTGCACACGATACAAGAAAAATCAATTTTTAAGAAAGTGGAACCTACATTCGAACCTACAGCGACCGCAATGTATTTCAAAGTTCTGCAGAGCTATTTTTGGAGCCGAAACTGACGCAATAATGTATGAAAAATGTTTCACTTTGTCGACGTTACGTAATTCTTAAACACGAAGTCAGATATTTATATGAATAGCCACGATTGCTGACTGCTGAATTAATTTGTCAATTAACGTTGTGTAAGACGGAGCGACATTAATTTTTATTTATAAATTGATAGATACATGATATATACCTCGGTTTATAACATCGTGTTAGACTCTTAAATCGAAATTAAATTCTCCCGTTCTACTATCAATATTCAAACATTAAAGTAACAGTTGTGATACAATAAATATAAATATTCATTTTCGCGTAACGAAATGTTTTAGAGGATAAATGTTACAATGAAACACTTTGTTCTCTCCAGATTAAAAAATGTATATTAATTCTTACTCGTTTCTACTAATTCCTACTAACTCCTATTAATTCCCACAAATTTCTACGAATTCATGCATTAATTCATTATGTACAAACCTCGATTAGAATCTGTAAAATGCAGGAATTTTGAAAAAGCACTGCGAATCTTAGGTTTTCAATGTTTGTACCATTAAAATGTCAGACACAGAGGAAAGACCGGATAAAACGCGTTGTCGAGATAGCCCCAGCTTGCATAAAATTCCTATTTTCATGGATCAGTCCTCGGGGAGCTCGGATTTGCATAAAGATCCGCACCGTATACATTCTAATAAAGGTACGCGCAGCAACCGTCGATAAAATTCGCGTGTTTCCATCCATCCGCGAAAGTCGAGAAGTGAAAACGGCGTGTAGCCGCAGCGCGACGAGAGCGAAAAAGAGAAAAAGAGAGAGAGAGGGTGAGACAGACACACACACACACACANGACACAATATACCGTACAAGAAGACATACTTTTACTCTGATGAGACATATTTTTTTAATCTTTCTTATTCTCTACGATCCATAATGTTTTGAAAATGTATTTTCAATGATCAACTTCAAAGGTTTATCGATGCACGTTACAAAGATTGGTTTCCAAAAATAGTTCTTTGAAAGTGACACTGTCTGTTTTATCTATCAAGTCAAGAACGCTAGGTTCCGTTTATCAGAATGGAAATTGATACTTACATATCAGCGCGTTATTTCAACAACTGTAGATTTTACAACGCACATTAATCTTCGTTTATAAACACTGATAGAGACAGAATTAAGAGTTGCATAATAACATTCCGAAGCAACTCAACTAACTGGCCAATGCGAATTCAGTGCAGCTTGAATTGGTCCTTATCAGATTGCGGATTTTTCCGTGTCTACAGTAACTGCTACTGCACACGATACAAGAAAAATCAATTTTTAAGAAAGTGGAACCTACATTCGAACCTACAGCGACCGCAATGTATTTCAAAGTTCTGCAGAGCTATTTTTGGAGCCGAAACTGACGCAATAATGTATGAAAAATGTTTCACTTTGTCGACGTTACGTAATTCTTAAACACGAAGTCAGATATTTATATGAATAGCCACGATTGCTGACTGCTGAATTAATTTGTCAATTAACGTTGTGTAAGACGGAGCGACATTAATTTTTATTTATAAATTGATAGATACATGATATATACCTCGGTTTATAACATCGTGTTAGACTCTTAAATCGAAATTAAATTCTCCCGTTCTACTATCAATATTCAAACATTAAAGTAACAGTTGTGATACAATAAATATAAATATTCATTTTCGCGTAACGAAATGTTTTAGAGGATAAATGTTACAATGAAACACTTTGTTCTCTCCAGATTAAAAAATGTATATTAATTCTTACTCGTTTCTACTAATTCCTACTAACTCCTATTAATTCCCACAAATTTCTACGAATTCATGCATTAATTCATTATGTACAAACCTCGATTAGAATCTGTAAAATGCAGGAATTTTGAAAAAGCACTGCGAATCTTAGGTTTTCAATGTTTGTACCATTAAAATGTCAGACACAGAGGAAAGACCGGATAAAACGCGTTGTCGAGATAGCCCCAGCTTGCATAAAATTCCTATTTTCATGGATCAGTCCTCGGGGAGCTCGGATTTGCATAAAGATCCGCACCGTATACATTCTAATAAAGGTACGCGCAGCAACCGTCGATAAAATTCGCGTGTTTCCATCCATCCGCGAAAGTCGAGAAGTGAAAACGGCGTGTAGCCGCAGCGCGACGAGAGCGAAAAAGAGAAAAAGAGAGAGAGAGGGTGAGACAGACACACACACACACACAGAGAGAGAGAGAGAGAGAGAGAGAGAGAGAGAGACCGTTCGCTCTCCGCATTGACCGATTCTCAGGAATGGGAAAGTCGCCGATAACAATCATCGCTTAACAATATCGCGCGAGGAATAAACGTTTCATTACCTACCGGCTATCGGCTGTCATACTCTCGCGCCGTGGTCACGATGTTGCAGAACCGCAAGGAATTACGCGGACCGTTGTATCCCCTCCCCCGTCGCGAACGTAAAAACGGCGAATTCAGCAAACAATAACGACCGCGCAATATTTTCCCGTAATAAATTTTCTTTTGTGGTCTACGAGCGTTACAGTACGCTCAAACTTCCTGCGTGACGTTGTTTCGCAACGAACCGCTGCATGAGCTATGGGGAACGTGGAAAATTTGATTGGCTGCTAGAACTAAATTCATTAAACTTCTTTCACCATGTCTTTACGTGTGTAGCCGTTGATTGCATACCTCTGCTCCACGATTAGATTGCCGGCTCGCATTTTTGTGAGGACAGATCGAAAGAACGTTTTCCTTCTCCCAAGACAAAATGCGATTTTCGTATTACTCGATCTTCGAACAGGATGTTCAATTTCTTCGGAACATAATGGTACAAATAATTTTGCTGTTTTACGGCATATAAATTGGTACCTACTGGTATCAAAATTGTCGATGTAGATGCGAAATTGTATCGTGTATTTGTGGTACATTTCTCGACCGACCGAAATAACTACGGCGTTAATAATGTTCCAGCAATTTATTGGAAGAATTGAATATTCACAAGTTTCATAAGTCATTCACGCTTATCAAATTCAATTTAATCGTTCCGTATTTATACGCGTAAGCGCGTCAATGGCTGCCAAGTTTTACGGCAGCAGCGAATACGTCACGTTCGCGCCGTAAAATATGCATAATTTCGGAAGCGCAAGAATCGTCGTAAAATGAATTTCGTTCGAATAAAAACGAAGTAGGATCGATCTATTTGAGAAGACTTCTCCGCGATGTAAATGCAGACGGACCGCGGCCGCCTAATAGGCATTTGCAAATGAGTTCGATTTATGGCGACTCGTAATATATTAAGAGACGAAATAAAACGCGCGGAACGCGCGGAAGGTTAAACGAAAAAGTATTGAGGCGCTGACCTCAGGGGAACGTGTCATTAATTTTTTTCCGGCCGTAAACTCATCGAGCGCGGTCTTAGCAGCCGCGGTTATACAATTATTCGATAATTTATCGACAATCAGAATATGTCAAGGACTCGATCTTTGTAATCATCCGATCGAAATCAGGCACCACATTAATTTTACACACTCTACAAGCGAACGGTTGAATCATCTACCGGCGAATCACAGCGATTTGCGGTTCGCAGTCTTGTACGATCAGGCGAAACGTGATTTTCCCATTAGAAAAACCTGTACCGATATTCAATCTCGTCGCAGGCAAAATGCGCGGACAGCCGGTGAATCGGTGATCCTGTTCCTTTCGCTGCCTCTTCAGGATCGTTATTGTGCAATCCGTTGCACAAAGCGGCCGGCGCGCGTACACTTGAGCCTATTTACACTGTAAAAACTGGACTACCTAACAGAGCGTGTCTAAACCGAAATCATTTAATCGAGTCACGATTAATGGATACAATTAGCCTCGGCGGGGAAGCGTCGGCGAGTTCACCGACAACGGACGGATCGTGATCGGCGAAATCAGGTTGCCGGGCCGACCTCGCCGGTCCAGAAAAAGAACTTTCTTCGCGTGATACGCCTTCCTCGATCTTTCCAACGCCGCCGCATCGCGTTCACGAATGTACTACCCCTGCCAGAAAATATTCGATCCTGACCGCGAACGTGATCGTCGTATTTGCTATCTCCAATTTTTAGAAACACATTTTATGAATGCGAAATGAAAGATTATGTTCTAGCCGACCGACAAATATACTGGACTAATTCGTATAGCAAGTACAAAAATACCCGGATTTTATCCAATTATTAATTGCGTATGGCGAGAAAGTGGCTTCATTATAGATATCGATATAATTTTGAATTGATACAAATATTTGGCTC